TCCATTCAGTCAGACACATCAATATCATCTAAAGAATAATCAGGATTTTCACAACAGGAATGCAAAGAGAAAGAAATAGTTAATATTTTGCTTCTCATGTCCAAAATAAGGTTTTCCAGTAAGACAATATTTTTGATAGCCAGGTTTTATTGATAAAGAGGATTTTCTAAATTATTCTCCCTTTGAATTATTACTATAGAATTCCACATAGGATGTACCCCATCCAACAGGAATGAAAAGAAGACAAAGTCTACCTTTCTTTTTTTATTTTTATTTTTTACTTTTTTCTTTTTTAAAAACTTATTTTACAGCAAAATGCTGTTTATTTTGAGCATCTGGGTGCAGATGGGTGGAGGCCAAAAAAGGCATCCACCAAAGCCCACCTTTTCTGATCCGAGACTACGGTTATTATCGGAAGAAGTAAAGCAGGGGAAGAGGAAGCAGATAGTTAGACACGTGGTTCAATCTTTCCTCTCTGAGCCAAAATCACAGATAAGAATGTAGACTCCGAATCCAGATTGCCTGGGTTCAAATCTCGGTTCAACCTTGGGTAACTACTTGACCTCTTCGTGCTTCGTTTCCTCACCTGTAAAACAGCAGTAATAATATTCCCCACTTCCAAGATTGTTATGAAAACTAAATAAGGTATGTGTTAAAGTGCTTAGAATACAGCTTTTCACATAGTAGCATTATAATGTGGGGTGTGGGTGGTGGATGAACGACTGGCAGGTTTTTGAAGGACTGTTGAGTAAAGGGTGGGTTCCGTGTCTCACTCCCCTTTGGGAGTCTGGAAGGAGAGCCCCTCAGAGGTTTCCTGCACCAACCTGGAGCAGCCGCCTCAAAGCAAACTCTTTGCCAGAAGCTGAGCCTGCCTTTCTCCAGCTCTTCCTCAGCAGCCCTTGGTTCCCGAGGGGTCCCGGGGCACTGACGGAGCATCTGGTGGGAGGATTCCAGAGGGGATTGTCTTACAGGGGTGACCACTGCACTGACGCCACTGGGGTAGAAGCACACGACGGTCCACATCACCCTGAGGGTCAAGGTAGGGCGGTTGACAAGGGAGACCCCTGGGTCCTCAAAAGCAGAAAGAGACCGGGCCGTGAGTGTTTCCGGCCACAGACATCAGCCACCAAGGCCGGCAGGAGGCCTAGGAGCAGGACCAGCTCCTCCTTAGCAGTCAGCAGCTCAGGGGGAGCCCTGCCTGCCCAGCAGCTCCACAGCAGAAACTAG